AATCCTTTGTATTTCTGTGGTGTCAGTTGTTACTTCACTGCTTTCATTTCTGATTTTGATTATGTGGGTCCTTTCTCTTTTCTTCTTGATTAATCTGGCTAAAGACTCATCAATCTTGTTTATCTTTTCAAAGAACCAGCTCTTAGTTTCATTGATTTTTTGTATTTTTTTAGTTTTGTATTGTTTTTTTAGTCTTTATGTCATTTATATATGCCCTAATATTCATTATTTTCTTCCTTCTACTTACTCTGGGCTTTTCTTGTTGTTCTTTTTCTAATTCTTTAAGTTGGAGGGTTAAGTCATTTATTATTAATTTTTGTTTTTTTGAGGTAGGCCTGTCATGCTATGAACTTCCCTCTCAGCATTGCTTTTGCTGTGTTCCATAGATTTTGGGTTGTTGTGTGCTCATTTTCATTTGTTTCCAGGAAGTTTTTGTTTTCTTTCTGGATCTCCTTGATAACCTATTCATTGTTTACTAACATGCTATTTAGCGTCCATGTGTTTCAAATGTTTTTGAGTGTTTTTATGATAGTTGATTTCTAATTTCATTCTATTGTGATATGAGAAGATGCTTGATATGACTTCAATCTTCTTTAACTTGTAGAGACTTCTTTTGTGTCCTAACATGTGGTCTATCTTTGAGAATGACCCATGTGCACTTGAGAAGAATATAGATTCTGCAGTTTTGGGTGAAATGTTCTATAAATATCAGTTAAATCCATCTGATCCAGTGTGTCATTTAGAATCACTGCTTCCTTGTTAATTTTTTGTCTGGAAGATCTATCCAGTAAAGTCATCAGGTTGTTAAAATCCCCTACTCTGACTGTATGATTGTTGATCTCTCCCCGAAAGTCTTGGATAAGTTTTTTATTTTATTTAGGTGCTCCTATATTAGCTGCATATGTGTTTACCAGGTCATATCCTCTTGTTGGATCTATTCCTTTAGTATTATATAGTGACCTTTGTTTTCTCTTGTGATTGCCTTCATTTTGAAGTCTATTTTGTCAGGTATGGGTATTGCTACCCCAGCTTTTTGATTTAGTTTCCATTTGCATGGAAAATTGTTTCCGATCCCTTCACTCTCATCCTGTGTGAGTCATCCTGAGGTGGGTCTGTTGTAGACAGCATATAATTAGGTCATATTTTCATATCCATTCAGCTTCCCTATGTCTTTTGATTTTAGTATTTAATCCATCCATTTAATTTTATGGTTATTATTGATAAGTACTTATTTATTACTGTTTTAATTCTGTATGCCTGTTTCTTTCTCTCTATATATAGTTTTTCTTCTCATTACAGCAGTCTCTTCAGCATTTCTTGTAGTGCTGGTTTGGTGGTGATAAACTCCTTTAGCTTTTTGTTTTTGTTTTTGTTTTGGTCTGGGAAATCTTTATTTCACCATCTCTTTTGAAAGATAGCCTTGCTGGATATCATTGTCTTGGTTTCAGATGCTTGCTTTTCATTACCTTGAATATTTCTTGCCATTCCCTTCTGTCTTGTACAGTTTCTGATGGGAAATCAGCTGACAGCCTTATGGGAACTCCATCATAGGTAACAAATTGTTTTTCTCTTATTGCCTTTAAGATTCTCTCTTTGTTTTTAATTTTTGGCATTTTAATTATGATGTGTCTGGGCATGGGCCTGTTTGGGTTCTTCTTACTTGGGTCTATCTATGCCTCCTGTCCTTGTGAGACTGTATCCTTCACCAAGTTAGGAAAGTTTTCTGCCATTATTTCTTCAAACACGTTCTCTATCCCTTGCTCACTTTCTTCACCATCTGGCACACCTATTATGGGAATATTGTTATGTTTCATGTTGTCCCACAGCTTCCTTTAGCTGTTGTACTTTTAAAAAATTGTTTTTTCTTTTTGGATCTCTGATTGAGTGATTTTTTTCTACCCTGTTTTCTAATTCACTGATATGAGCCTTGGTGTCCCTAATCTGCTGTGAATTCCTTCCACTGTGTTCTTTCTTAGTATTTTTTCTCATGCTGCTGAGCATCTTTGCCATCATTATTTTGAACTCTTTCTCTGATATGTTTCTTATCTCCATTTCATTTAGTTCTTCTTCTGAAGAATTATCTTATTCTTTCATTTAGAGGTTATTTTTTTATCTCCCCATTTTGGCTGCTTTTATGGGTTTGTGACTATGTATTAAGTAGATCTGCTAGCTTCCCAATTTCTAGTGCAGGACAATGTCAAATGCTGTTTCTGATTAATTAGATCAGGCAAAGACTCAAAGCCTCTAGAGACCTGCCTCTGTCTGCAGACTGATTTTATTCAGTTTTGAGTAGCCTCAGGCAATCATCCACTGGTGGAGTGAGAGGTTTTCCTACAGGATGGGACAATTGCTTCTCCCTGGAGGCTAATTGTTATTCTCAGTTTCTTAATATGTCTCAGAAACTCCACAGGGTGGGGTAAGTGATTTTCCAATAGGGTAGGGCAACTAACCTCTCTCCAGGCAAAAACTGACTGGATAGCAAAGGTCTGCCTGAGAAAGATGTCCTCCGCAGTGTGAGGAAATGACTCAGCACAGGAAACCAGCGTGTCTGCCTTCTGAGCTCTAACCCCAGTTCCCCCAACCCTGGCTTTTGCTCACAGAGCTCATGTCCACTCTGCCCTCCTTCAGCCAGAGACAAAGGTGAGTGAGCTGCACATGAAATTTTGTGGGTTGGTCCTTTAAGAGGTTGCCTGCATTTTCAGCCATCTCTCACTGTCAGACAGCAACTCTGCTGCTTTTCACAACTAGGTGTTGTGTGGGCACCTTTCTCAGTTCTGATACTTTTGGCTGGGGAGCCCAGCTTGGCATTTAGATCCCAGAGTTCTCAGTGGCAATCCCACACAGCTGAGATATTGCTCCAGGACTTCAGCTGCTATTTGTGGGAGCTCAGCCAGCCCTCTCATATATCTGCCCTTTCTACCAGTCTCTATGCAGTCTCCTCTTTCTGCCATTGGTTATCGGGATTCTCTCCACCTAGTCTTCAGTTGATTAATCAAGATGTTTTTTCTGTACTTTAGTTGTAATTCCAGTTTAGTCCTGGGAGCATGTCAGTTTAGCATCCACTTCCTCCACTGCCATTTTTTATCTCACCCATTTAAAAAAGTATATTTTTATTGATTGCAGAGAGGCAGGGAGAGAGAGAGAGAGATAGAAACACCAATGATGAGAATCATTGATTGGCTGCCTCCTTCATGTCTTCCACTGGGTATCAAGCCCACAACCTGGGTATTTGCCCTGATCTGGAATCAAACCATGACCTCCTGGTTTATAAGTCTATGCTCAACCAGTGAGCCACATTGGCTGGGTGCCATGTTCCTGATGTTAAAATTTACCTCCTTTATATTATGTATTCATTAGCAAATTATTGTAACTATATTACTGTAATACATTTGTTCTTTATCTTTTATACTAGAGTTAAATGATTAACTCAGTACTGTATTATAGTATTAGAGTATTCTGAAATTGACCATAAAATTACCTTTTTCAGTGTGTTTTATAATTTTATATATTTTTCTGTCTGTATTTTCTTGCATCTGGTTGAGTATATTCAGAACTGCAATCTTGAATTCTCTGTCATTTATTTCACAACTTTCCAAGTGTTCCACCTTGATTTCTTTTTTATTTTATTGATTAAGGTATTTCATATGTGTGCTTATCTCTCCATTGTTCCCCAACCCCCCTACTCATGCCCTCACCCCCCTGGTGTCTGTGTCCATTGGTTAGGCTTATATGCATGCATACAAGTCCTTTGGTTGATCTCTTCCCCTACCTCCACCATTCCCTACCCTCTGAGGTTTGATGGTCTGAAAGATGCTTCACTATCTCTAGATCTGTTTTTGTTGACCAGTTTATGTTGTTCATTATTTTCCATAAATGAGTGAGATCATGTGATATTTATCTTTCTCTGACTGGCTTATTTCGCTTAGCATAATGCTCTCCAGTTCCATCCATGCTGTTGCAAATGGTAAGAATTCCTTCTTTTTTACCACAGCATAGTATTCCATTGTTTTAATTTTGTGTTTTTTATTTACAGAAATGTTATTATTCTATATCAATCTGTCATTTGCTTTCTTTCACTAATATTGTTTTCTAGACTTGCTGTATATACCACAATTTAATTCTGTATTTGATCTGTAGATAAACATTTGGGATGGATTGTTTCTGATTCTTTAGATTAAAAATAATGTTAAAATGCGTATTCTTTTATATGTCTCTTTTATATATGTGTGAATACCCTTGAAGGATTTTATCCTTGTGCATTTTCACTTTTACTAAGTATTGCAAAATTATTTTCAAAAGTGGTTTTGCTAATACATCAATTCATCAGCACTTTTATATAAAAATTCTTGTCTCCTTTGTATCAAATCTTGATATTATCACATTTATTTTATTTTATTCTATTTTTTGCTAATCTGTGTTTGAAGTAATATCTCATTGTGGTTTTAATTTGCATATCTTTACTATTGATATAGTTGAATTACCTATTTACAGCCCTTATTCATTTTTATACTTAATCATTTATCTTTTTCATATTAATTTATGGTGCAAGTGTGTAATAGTCAGTATTTTCCTCACTGATTTGTAATATCCCCTCTATCTATAATAATAAAAGCGTAATATGCTAATTAAAGCAGACAGCCAAACAACCTTCCAGAGGAAGCCGGGGCTGCGAGGGCCGAGCCCCTTGCACAAATTTCGTGTATCGGGCCTCTAGTATTATCATAATTTTCCATTTTTGCTGGAAAATGTATTTGGGTTCTCAATTCTGTTTCACTGGCTTCTTTGCTTACATGCACACCATTGATTTTAGTACTCTGTGTAATAGATGTTATGGCATGCCTCTTTCTTTAAGTCTTTTTTTTTTAAGAATGAAGGACTTATCTCTTTACTTGCTGGGCGTGCTGGGGGCCCTTTTGCGTATTCCCTCAGCTGAAGGGTTTTGCCTCTAAACACAGATCTTTGGGGGGGGGGGCAGGCAACATCCAATAGCATGTTTACAAATATATAACTAGCCCCCTCATCAGAACTTGAGACAAATGTATAGGACTGTCTCCACAGCTTCCATGAGGTTGGCTGGACTATTGTTAAGATGGCAAATTCTCTAGCCCAACCTCTTCTTTTCCACATGCGCTGATCCCAAGAGTATTTCCTCATAAACTGCCGGCCTGCTCCCTGGTCTCAGAATCCTCTGTGTCGGGAATGCAGCCTGTGATTCAATGTAATCTTCATTGGCAACCTGCTAGTTGTGGCCTCTTGCACAAACTTTTCAATATATATGCATTTTTATAATTTATATTTCTAAGTGGCGGAGAAGAGGGAAGGGGGGGGGGGGGGGGGGGGGGAGAGAGAGAGAGAGAGAGAGAGAGAGAGAGAGAGACATAGATATGAGAGAGACACATCGACTGGTTGCCTTCCACATGCACCCCTACTGGGG